AAACTTGTAGTAAGTGAGTCTATAGTCCGTTTTCAGTCCTCAATTCCTATGCAGGCTTGGACAAGGTGATCTCGGCGTCTTTACTCTGCCGCCATCTTCCGGAAGTCCCTCTGTCTGTTATTTTAATTGAATGACAACACTTACTCAAAACATCTCAAAGTCCTAGCCTAGAAGGTCTCTGTGGAAGTATTTAAATATGCTAAGAAGAAGAGCAGTTAATTGACATTCTTCTAAACTTCTTGGGCTCTTCTAACCTCTCCTTGTCTCCAGAGAAGACTAGATTCCTCCGCGACTAAAAAGGCTAGAATGTGGGAGAACCTTTCAATCAACTGCTTAGATATCCGTACGTTGTGGCCCATTTGAGCATCACACCAGCACTGTGCCTCCCCTCCCTCTGCCCTTCTGGGTGTTTTCTTAGACCTGTGCTACATTTGACGCTTCTCCTTCCTCTACTTTGGCATCAAAGGCCACCCGACTCTTTTGTGGCAGCATATTTAGACAGTTCATCTGCACACCCATCAGTCTTCCCAGCTCACATTTCAGACTGTTCTTTCTCTCCCTCTTAGTTCCTCTTGCACCCTTTTGTGAGATGAATCTATTCTGGAATGTCCTTTTTTTTAAATCACATCATAGTCCTGTTTTCAGACTGTTTCTCATTTTCCCAATCAGATCAAATCTAAAACCTTCAGCGTGGGATTTGAGACTGACATCTCTGTTCCTAGCAAGCTTCATTGCTCTCAGCTCTCCAGGTGGCATGTCTCTCTGTTTCTGTGAGGTCTTCATACCATATCCTCTCCAGACTTGCTATTTTCATCCTGTGCCTACATGCATTTTTCTTCACTTTATATGTCCTCATTGTATTTTATTGACAAGTCTAAAGTCAATATGTCCAGCTAAATTCCCCTTTTCTGTAAATATTCTAGGAATCCCCCTGTTTATCCCTTACTCACTAACCTATGTTTGGTGCCACTCTGTGATATGGATTGGGAGTTGGCTGCCATTTTATAGATAGACAACTTCTCTTTTCAGCTGGACCATGAGTTCCCCAGGGCAGACCCCATATTTCCTGTGGCAGTTGTTAAAAAATACTTGGTCCTGGTAAAAAACTGTTGTTGAATGTGCTCTGTACCAGGTGACCTACTACATTGCTCTTCACTGCCAATGTGAGCTGACTGCTACCTCATTTGTATTGTTCCCCTACCCCTTTTTTTTTTTAAGATTTATTTATTTGTGCATACAGAACTGGGGTACAGACCAGAGGCTCAGGGGTGGTGAGAGGCTTCACCAGAGACAGAGTGGGGAGCAGAACAGGCAGATTGACGAAGTACACTGCTGAGGGGAGCAGTGGGCGGGTCAGGAGTGGTCTGCCACACCATGTGGTCACCTCGGGGGCAGGCGGGAATCGAACTCATGTGGAAGCGGCTTTAGATTCTCAGTGCTGTGCTTTAACTCGCTGTGCCACCAGGGAGGGCCCCCCTTTTGTTTTTAAGATGATAAATTGAAATATAAGAGTTTAAGTAACTTGGTCACTGTAGGCTACTGTCTGACTCAGCTCATGCCTAATCCCTGCACCAACCCCCCTAAAATGGATTGCATCATTACCATTACACTTAAGTATATCATAGTAGGGCCCTCCATACAGTAGATGGTAACATTGCATATACTTTTCTTTGAGTAAGTATATTTATTCTATTTTCTTTCCCCCTTTATTTGTTGAAAAGAATATGAGCTGGTCCACTAAACCATGCAAAAAGGGATGGTCTTACTAGTTTGAACAGATCACTAGAAGTATACTCTAAAGTCTCCTCAAAGGTAGGCTTTATTGCTGAAAATGCTGAGTTGTGGAAGTCATAATATTAGAGAACTGCTAATTCTACCATTTGTACACTAGATATTGTGTTTGTTGCTTAACATTTCCTCATTTAATTCTGATGTACCGGCCTTGTATGTGATGAAATAAAACTTCAATAGGCTCGGGACTTTTCCATGGTCACACAGTAAGTGATAGAACCAGGATTCAAACCTAGATCTGTTGAACTGCCAACACCGTGGCTCTCCCCTGTGGGGCATCAGAGCTGCTTTTCTGCTACTCTTAGGTTGTTTTCAAGAGCTATGAGCTATAGTCTCTAAGTCAGTGAAATGACATGGTCTACAAAAGAACAGTACATTGTCTCAGCTGTGTGAGGAAGCCACTACAGTGATCTTCAGTTTGCATGATGGCTATTCCCCTCCCCGATGGGAAAATCTAATCAAGCAGGCAGTGGATGATCATCTCTCCCTTCAACTGCTAGTTTTGGCCTGTGGAGTCTTACCCAATCGTCAGTTTACTCTTGTTGAGTCTCCTAATTAGTCAATAAAATGACCTACAACTTGTATTTATTAAGACATTGTATTTGGTGCTTAAGGAGAAATAAACCAGTGATTCAGCCTACCAGAAATTTATAAATCTAGCTGAATTGGTAAGACATATATACCTGAAAAGATAGCAGGACCAGACTGATGGTATGGACAGAAGTGCTGTAAGAGCTCAGGTGAGCAGAAGACTTCTTACCTTGAGGCTCTTGGAACTGGGCCTTGAAAGATGGGTGGGATTTCTAAGGAAAAGACACTATCCCTAAATAAGTACTTTAATTGTGAATATAGATATAAAAGGCTTGACTACATCTGTTTGTTTGAACTGGTGTAAATGGACAAGTGATTGGAAAAAATGTTAGTTTAAACATAGGTGGAAGCCAAATAATGGAAGACTTTAACAAACTGTGTCCAGATGTTACCTTGTGGGAAGTTATTAAATATTTGAAAGTATTGATAAGGATAGTGTTTCAAAGGATTACTGACATGCCAGCACTGTGGGGTTTGGGTCAGAAGAGAAAGTCTTTCAGGGAGGCCTCAGAAGTTCTTACATTGGTCCTAAGATGGAGTATCCTTTACTTGGTTGGCAGATGGGAGAAATTACAAAAATTACTTTGTCAACTGGATATTCTGAAGAAAGTAGCAAGTGAAGAAGTCAAAGATGTCTCAGGTGTTTTGAGCTGTGATCATTGGGGATGCTGGTGCCTTGCCTGGTGTGCTGGACACAAGAAGCAAACTCATGTAGAGTGAAAGAGTTTATTGTCTTTTAAAAATCTGTATGGTTACTTATTCTTGTAGAAAAGTAGTATTTTCAACAAAACAGTGTTTTCCATTGGAGAATATTCTAAGAACTTCTTCCCCAGCAATCAGAGCTTACTTCACTGGGGTGTAACACACAATGGTGGAGTCCAGTGAGTCAGAAGAACCAAATTTACTGTTTGAAGTGTGAGTTGGGGCGATCCACTTAATCCTAAAATTGGTGAAATTGGGTCTTTGTGATCTATTTCACTAGGCAATGTTTTAAGGAAAGGAATTACATCCTCCCTCCCTCCCTCCCTCCTTTCCTTCTTGTATTTATGTATTTAAAGATTTATTTATTTAAAGATTTATTTATTTATGTATGCAGAACTGGGGTACAGGCCAGAGGTGCAGGAGGTGAGAGGCTTCACCAGAGGCAGAGCGGGAAGCAGAGCAGGCAGACTGATGAAGTACACCGCTGAGGGGAGCGCGAGGGGTCTGTTGGGCCATGTGGGTCACCTCTCTGGCCAGGATCTAACTCATGCTGAAGCCACTGCGGCTTCAATAGCATTGCATTTTAAACTGTTGAGCCAATCCCAGAGTGCCTGATCCCCCTTTTTAAAGGGCTCTCCAGGGAGTGCTGTTGAACTTCATAACAGGATAGAAGTGTAACATGCATGGTAAGTACCAATGAAGTATATACGTTATATATAAATTACTGTTTGGCCCTAAATGTTAAGATTTAGGTATCAGTCTTGTTCTGTTTTTCAAATCAAGTAAATCTAAGGGGAGGGAAAGTGAACTCCCGCACTCACTTGCTATTTGCTTCTGAATTTAGAATTATAGAGATCGCAGCCTGCCACTCTGCCCACACCTCGGCTGCCAAGACCCAGGGCGGGCACGTGTACATGTGGGGCCAGTGCCGGGGCCAGTCGGTGATCCTGCCGCACCTCACCCACTTCTCCTGCACCGACGACGTGTTCGCCTGCTTTGCCACCCCCGCTGTCTCGTGGCGCCTCCTGTCCGTGGGTGAGCTCATTGCTGACCTGACCTCTGGAAGTCAATGTTTAGCACAGTGTTGTGTAATTTGTCTCCCTTTAAGGGACTTCTGGGAAAGGAAAACAGTTTACTTTTTCTTCAGTCTCAGAAACCAATACTCCATTCTAAATTAAAAGTATTTGCTTTTTAATTTGATTGCTTTATAATTTAACTAGGAAACTGCATTTTTATCTTTAGCTTGTATATTTACTCAAACATTCAAAAATTTCATTTAATGAGACCTCTTAGGGTTCCCCCCCCCATATTTAAAACAGACGTGTGTGAGGTTCTTATCTGTAATGATTGCAGGTGGAAATTTATTATTTGTGGGGGAGTAAAACATTGTTCAATAAATTATTTATGTTGAAGAACTGGTATTTGCATGAGTATCCACAGAGCAATGCTGTATTCTTGCCTGCACTTTCATTATGTTTTTACTTAACTGTAGAAACATTGATCTTACTCTCTTAGAACCTGACGATCATCTCACCGTGGCGGAGTCACTGAAGAGGGAATTTGACAACCCTAATACTGCAGATCTGAAATTTCTGGTGGATGGAAAATACATTTATGCACACAAAGTCCTTCTCAAAATTAGGTAAGGAACCATTCATTTAGAGAAGTGAAATAAATGCACTTAGTGTTTTTTTTTTAATTATTACAAAAGTTGCACTTAGTGTTTTTTAAGGGCCCAAGGAACTGTGTGGAGCACTAAATTAATGATGAAAATGTGCAACCTTGTTTTTGCCCTCATGAACGTTTATTACAACCAGAGGAACACATACACCAAACAAGAAATAATAGAGGCCACATGTAGTTAAGAACTGGGGGTGTTGTTTAAGGCATAAATACTCTAAGCATTTTAATGAGTAGGTTTTGGGATCTAATTTTGCAGTGGAGAGGATGTTTTCACATACATTCAGTAAGCAATTTTTGGACCCCAACTTAGTGTCCTATAATTTAACTCAATTCTGACGCTGTCTGTGTACCTGGAGGAAGCATCAGATTCCACAGGTTAAATTGGAGGTTCCCAAAACCTCTTCCCCCTTTGTAGTTGATTCATTTGCTAGAATGGCTTACAAAGAGAGAACTTTACTTACAAGGTAACTGGTCTTTTATAAAAGGATATAATTCAGTAACAGTCAGGCGGAAGCGGTGCAAAGGGCAAAAATCTGTGGGAAAAGGGTTCTGGAACTCCCTAGACATTTTGTATGCGGGCTGACCTTGTCGGTGTCAGAGGACAGTATGCCACAGTTGTCAAGCATGTGAATTTGCACAAGATTAGAAAAACCAATTTTAGTGATGTAAAACTTTGAGCAATGAACTGCATCCCTTTCAAGTGTCCATTTGAAACTGTGAAGCTACTTCCCCAAATTGAGATACAGAACAATTCTGTCAGCCCTGAAAAGTCCCCATAAGTTCCAGTACTGGGACAACCACTGACCTTTCAGCCACTAAAGGTTAGTCTGCATTTTCTAGAAGTTTGTGTAAGCGGAATTATACAGTATGTATCTCTTTGTGCCTGGCTTCTTTTAGTAGATGATTTTGAAATTCAGTATGTCCTTGTATAATGAATACTTAAATATTACTGCAAGAAATCTAAAATCCAATATGACATTTTAGTCTCAAGTTTGTATCTTTTTTTTTTTTAAAGATTTATTTATTCATACAGAACTGGGGTACAGGCCAGAGATGTGGAGGGTGAGAGGATTCACCAGAGACAGACTGGGGAGCAGAACAGGCAGATCAACGAAGTACACTGCTGAGGGGAGCAGCGGGCTGGTCAGGAGAGGTCTGCCGCGCCATGTGGTCAGGCGGGGATGGAACTTATGCGGAAAGGGCTTAAGCTTCTCAGTGCTGTGCTCTAACCCTCTGCGCCACCAGGGAGGGCCTCAAATTCATATCTTTAGTAAGGTCAGGCTGTGCCACATTAGTAGGGGTGGGTTTATGTCTAACTCTGTTAGGACATCAGAAATTACTGCAAACTGAGGGACTTAAGTAAATTTATTTTCAAAATTTTAGAGGCTGAAGATGAAGGAGTTGGCAAGGCTGAGTTCTTTCTCCTGGCTTTTTGTGTTTGCTGGTATTCCTTGTGTTTGCTGGTATAGCATAATGCTATTCTGTGTGCGGAGTTCTCGCTGTACACGTCTGTGACCAAATTTTCCTTTTTATAAAGACACCACTTGCTTTTATTTTATATGTATTATACATCATTCTTGTACAATGCCTTCTTTCTTCTCTCAGGTGTAGTCCCCATGAAATTCCACTAATTCACACAACACCATTGCCAAAGTCAACTGTGCTCTTCCATCCTGTTTTGATTCTTCTCCCTTCTCCTCCCCTATAGAATGTTTCTGATTTATAATTGCCTGCTGATTTTGATTTTGGTTATCATTACTTCCCTCCCTCCCTTATTTGTTCCTCTACATTTTTCCTATAGGTGAAATCATATGGAGATATTTTTCTTTTTCTTTCTGGTTTATTTCACTGAGCATAATCCCTTCCAGCCATATCCCTGTTGCTATAGATGGCATGAGTTTATCATTTTTGATTGCTGGGTAATATTCTATTGTGTATATATACCACAATATTCTATTGTGTATATATACTTAATCCAGTCATCTGTTTTGGGCATTTGGGCTGTTTCCATAGCTTACCTATTGTAATAAGTGCTACAGTGAACATAGGGGTGCAAGTGTTATAAGGACACCACTTGCATGGAGTAGGGCCCATCTTCATGAACTCATTTTACCTAATTACCTACTAAAGATCCTGCCTACAAATACTATCACATTGTAAAGTTAGGGATCCAACATAAGAATTTAGAGAACACACAATATTCCATAATAGGGAATGAGGAAACAAAATACCTCCCAGGATATGAAAATAAAACTCCTCTGTCTTCTATAAATGCTGCTCAGTAGATTTAGGTGTGGGACTCATGGCTGGGAGTCAGACATGGTGTAGAGGCAGCTACCAGGCCTCTGTGGTGGCAGGTGTGCATTTGCAGCCTTGCCGGATAAAGGCAAAGACTCACTATAGTGAGGACCACTAAGGTGAGTACTCGAAGGTGTGCAGCTTGGGGGAAGTCACACATTGCAAGTGCTTTTCTCTTTGCTAGTTTTTCCTTTAAGCCCCAGAAAAGCTGCTCTTCTGAGGGCCTCCTGCTTTTGCCTAGAAGCTGGGATCTGACTTGCCTCTTTCTTCCTTCAGGTGTGAGCATTTTCGTTCCTCATTAGAAGATAATGAAGATGATATTGTAGAAATGAGTGAATTTTCATATCCTGTTTACCGAGCCTTCCTGGAATACCTGTACACAGACAGCATCAGCCTGCCTCCCGAGGAGGCAGTAGGTAATTGCCACCACTTTATCAAGAGATTAGCAAAATGCTGATCACTGGTTAGGTGGTTTTCATAGAGCCTAAACTAACACCATTCCCTTTCGTATGTTGAACCCATTCTCTTTTCCCCTGTTACTACTTCATGTAGATTAGGTTGCTAGAATAAGAGATAGGTGAAAGCCATTGCCCAAGCTGTGCATGATTTTCTAGCTGGACACCTGCTGCAGTTGTTTGCATTATAAAACAAATCAAATGCACACTATAATAGCCCTGTTGATCTCTGTCACCACAAATTTCCCTCCCAGATAGCTTTGCACAGACCACCATTGTCTGCACAACTGTTGCCTTGAAGGTAGTTGAGGGAGTTCTCTGCCCCTCAGGTTTGTTGACAGCAATAAGCAATACAGGTTGTCAAATGGGTAGAGTGAAAAACATACTGAATTTTAGTTTCTAGCTGGTTGTTGGTTGTTGGCCAGTGGTACAGAAGAATTAAGGAACTACTTCTATATGGAATAATAGGAAGACTTCAACCTCTGAACTTTCAAATCAAACATTCATTTTACATGTATAAACCCAATGACAGTTTTTACCAGATCTGCATTTAATTTTCCTCAGGTAGACAGAAGACTTGAAATTTTATAAGTTTCCATCCTTTTACAAGCATGTTAGTGCTTGCGCCCATTGCAAGGCACAGCACCTGCTTGTCCTGAGCTAGACAGACCCTGCCCTGCTTTATGGGGCTTGGTGAAGACTGGGAGGCCTGCCCTAAAGAAATACACACAGTCAACTGGAGGGCCCAGGACACCTCTATCAGGAAGTGCCCGTGCAGACCTGAGGGAAGTGTGAGTAAGTAAGCATCCAGATAGCCAGGGAGGATCATCCTGGACATGGGAAACAGGAAGTGCAAAAGTCTGAGGCAGGAACAAAAAAGAGGAAGAAGGCAGGTTTACTGTCTAGAATGACCTAGACGGTGCCAGGAATTGAAGTCAGACAGTTTGATCTGCATAACCTGGAGATCATGGCAGAGAGCTTATGTTTTAGTCTTTGTGTGATAGAAATCCTTGGAAGTTTATTTTTTTTTTTAGCAACAGAGTTGTATTACATAGAATTTGCTTTACCTCTTAGTAGTGAAGTGAAAAAAAAAGTAACTTGAACAAGTTGTAGTTAGTAGATTCTAGTACAGGAATGGTGGGGCTGGTTTTTAAAAAATCACTAATAGTTCTCATGTGAAATGAAAACATTTAGGTTAGGGTGGAGCAGTGGAAATGTTGAAAAGAGATCCAATTCTGTATATAGTTTAAAAATGGAGCTGATGGGATTTTCCAGTGGGTGAGATGTCAGGTCTGAGGGGGAGAAATAGTGTTGCTCTGAGGTATTTGGTTAGAGTAGTTGGTTAAGGGAAGTATCACTTACAAAGGTGAGGAAGACGGAGAGCAAAGCATTTGTTGGTAAGTTTACAAAAAACAGTATCTCTTAACAAACTTGTCCCTTTCAGAGGTAGCTCTTCTGGTTAAGCCATAATTATGCAGGTGCCTCTTCCCCCCCCTTTTCTTAGTAAATCTGTCTTTTTAAAATGAGAAAAACCAAACCAAACCAAAAGACAAAAAGCCAAAGGAGTTCCAGCTGCTTATTAGCACCCACTTAGCACTTTTTTTTAAACACCCCTAACATTTGCATTGACCTAGGGAAGACTCCAAGTGGGGCCCACAAACTCTGTATCTAAAAAAGTTACATATTAGCTAAAATACTTCATGTTCAAACTTTATGCCTTGAAAATATAACCTAAAAACTAAAGGCCAGGGTTAATTCTAGGACTCCTTGGAGTTTTGGCGCAGGAACAACAGGCCTTTGGTGTTAAACCTTGGGCCTGCCATCTTTACCCACCACACCTACATTTCACATGTGATCACCTCAATCTGCATGTCTAAGACTTGCCTACCACCTAGCAGGCCACCCCTTGGACTTGGGGTCTGCACATTGGTAACATGCTATGGAGGGGAAGAAACACACATACACACACACACGGCCTCAGGGCTAATGAAACAAGGAGTTTCAGGGCCTCAGGTACCCAAGGTGAGGTCTTGGAGTGGCTGCATGTAATACAAGTAACAAAGTGCTTTTAATGGGGAGCACCCTCAGCCATGTCAAACTCTTTCTAAAGAAAGATAAAATTTAAAATTGCTTTGGATTTGACACAGGGCACCACTACTGTCAGGTGTGATATCACAAAGTGGAGTGGATGGTATTCTGATGAATGGCTTGAGGTGAAGAGTGGAAAGTGGGAAAATGGAGTCAGCAAATACAGACAGCTCTCCCCAAGAGGCTTGCTCTGGAGAGAGGAAGTGGGGTAAGGTTGGTGAAGGCAGACATGTACTGATGAGAAGTACTGCTTTTCCTTTTCAAAAAGATGGTACTGTTAGAGCATATTTTAATGCTGTTGGAATGACTCAGGGGATGTTGATAATGCAGGGGGAGTGGCAAGTAGGGGACCATTTCTTGGAAAAATACCAAAGCCTATTTTCACTGTGCTCATGTTTCCTACCGCTACTTGTTTGTTACACATGCTCAGTACAGCTCCCTTCTCAGGTAGACCCACACACTCAGGGTAAACTCAGGGTAAACGTCTTATCTACAGCCCTTGACTAAGGATTATATTCAAAATAATGTGAGCATCATCTTGAAGGGTTAATTGAGTCTAAATCGGTATGCTTTAAATCACTTCCCCTAAAACACATCTCTTTTCATCAGGATTACTAGATTTGGCTACATTTTATAGAGAAAATCGCTTGAAAAAGCTTTGCCAACAAACTATCAAGCAAGGAATCTGTGAGGAAAATGCCATTGCACTGCTCTCAGCTGCCGTGAAGTACGATGCTCAGGTAAGAAGCATCCTTTCAGCCAGCTGTCCTGGGTTTCTGCTAAGCCTAAGATAGCTCTGGTAAAGGTTTCTGCTTAGCCTAAGATAGCTCTGGTAAAGATTTAAGGTCAACAAAGTACCGGAAAAAAAAATGAGTTTTTTTAAAAAATTTTTTATTTTAGAGTGGCCATCAAAGGCAGATAGGTCTAAGAAAGATAAAAAAAAAGTTTATACATGATAAAATATCATAAGAAAATTAAAAAGTAAATGATATACCAAGAAAAATATTTATAAGATACAGTACAGGATTACCATAGTTAGTGTATAGTTCTTAGACAAAATATGAACAGTTTGCTTGGAAAAAAAATGAACCAAAGAACAGATGAATTGAGGAGCAAATGAAAAATATAAAATGAAAACAAGGTGTAATTTTTCACTTATCAAATTGGAAAATGTATTTTTGGAAATAATGAACACTGAGTAGAGGGCTTACTTGTAAAGTGCCCAGGAGTATGCTCACCAGTACGTCCTGGGCACCACAGGTATAGTATGTGTTAAAAACTTCAAAGGAATAAACTTATAGGACTTTATCATAAGGACGTAATCCTTGATTAAGATGGAGGTTCAGCATCAAAGATGTTTACCTCAGCATTGTTTGTAATACTGGAAAATTAGAAAAAGCCAACATCAACAGTTCTGGGTGTTTGAACTCTATAGAGTGTTAATATGATGAAATTATGCTCCTTGTCATTTTATATCATTAATAAAGAACATGGCCTTATTTTTTAAATAGTTTATCAATATTAAATAAGCAAATTGATTTAAGTACAAATTGATTTTTAAAAGACTGAAATTCACTATCTACTTAGAAAAAAAAGATTGAAAAAATAGAGTTAATGATTGTCTTTGAATGGTGTGATTGTGGATGATTTTTAGTTCCTTATCTTTGCTTGTTTTTTCCTGAACTTTCCACAGTGACACTGTATTGTTTGGATAATAAAGAAAGGAAACAAAACTTGTCTTACAGCTAAATCTTTAGGAAACAGGCCATACTTCTTGGAGTCAGTTTCCTTTTGGTATAAGGATATCCTCTCCTTTGGTCAAAAAAACAGGGACATTTTAGTGGTGGGTGGAAAAAAGGTTATGCTAATATAAAGAATAAAATGCTTATTAAAGAAACTGTGGACAACACAGAAGATATGAGGAAGGAAATGATTCATCTACCAGAAAACACTAACATTTCATACAGCTTCTTCTGATTTTTTTCCTGTTACATGTAAGTCTCCAAATGTTAGATTCTTTTCATTTAATATTTTAAAAAATCCTCCCCACTCTGAAATATTGACATTTAAGAGCATAATGAATGTTATCTTTCATTAAGGTAACACTATTTGGACACTTAACAACATGTGAAGTGCTTCATGGCCAAGAGAAATCTTTGCTTTTCCTAGAATTGGTTGAAGTCATGTTGACAATATTGGACTCCAATGGGCTACCCCCATGAGGAGGTAGAAACACAGTGTTTCCATCCGAACTAGGCCTAATGTCCCAGACTTTTTTTTTTCACATTCCCTATTTATTTGAATTATTTGTATGTTTACCTTCTTTCTAGAATGTAAGCTGCCTAAGGGAATAGGAGTTGGTTCATGACCAACTCCCTAGTGTTTAAGTAGTGCCTGACATATAGTAGGTACTTATTAAAGACTTAATTCATGAACTTTGCCTGGAGATGACTTATTTTACTATCGCCAGTCCAACTAATTTTCTTACCCTAAATTAGTGTAATGGGCTACAAGTAAAAGTGACTGTATTTACACACACACATAAAATCTTTTATATAAAAAGGACAGTATATTTGATTTGTATTTTGATTTGTTGACTCCAATAAACAAACAAGAAATGGGCTTCTTCAGCAAACTGTTATTTTTCCTGCTAGACTACTGCTAAATACCTAATTAATATTAGCCAAGGATTATTTGAAGCATAGTTTATACCTTGTTTAATCCTCAAAAGAACATTGTAAGATATAAGATATATTAGTCCCAGTTTACAAATGAGGAAACTGAAGCCTGGAGAGATTAAGCTATTAAATTGCAGTGCTAGAATGCCATACATTTAAATATCAATTTTCTGTTGACCCCATATTTTAAAATTGATTAGTTGATTCAACAAATATTCTGTTTATCATATGCCTGCCACTGTTCTAGGCATTAGGAGTATAGCAGGTGAATAAAATGAACCAAAATCTGCCTTCAGAGATTTTACTCCTCTTAATTTTTGGTGAGATAGGCAAAAATAAATGAGTACAATATACAGTGTGTTATATGGTGATGACTAATATAGAAAGAAGAAAGAAAGGAAAGTAATGCCCTGCTGAGATTAAAGGTGAAATTAGAAATAGTGATCAGGTGATGGAGAGATGTCACTGAGAAAGTGACTTGAGCAAAGACTTTGAAGGAGGTGTGGAAGGAGTTCTGAAGCCACGTGCTGGGAGAACAATGCAGGGAACAGAAAAGCAACTAGTGGGGCAGAAGAGTAGAACAAGGAAGAGGAAAAGCTGTAGGGAAGTGCGATGTGCTGTGAGGACAGGTGTGTGTGGAGGCAGGCGGTGCCTGTGGGCTCGAACAGGCTGGTTGAAGGGCTGTGAGTTCTAACATGAATGAGTCATCAAAGGATCTGGAGAGGAGAGACATGATCCAAATAACATTTGGAAATAATCTAGCTGCTGTGTGAGGGTGACAGGGCTGGTTAGTTAGGAAGCAGTATCATCCAGTAAGCAATGGTGGGGCTGTAGAAGTTGTTAACGGAGGGAATGGCAAATGTGAATTTTGACAAGGTAGAGCCAACAGTACTTACTAATGGGTTAAATGTGGGGTGAAGGGAAAAAACAAAAAGGACAACATAGGACAATTCTGAAGTTTTTGTCTTAACCAACCAATTTTTTGGATTGTGTATATACTGGTACAGATATCAGTATTGCTACTTTTGTTTTTTTCCCCCACCTTTGGTATTTGCTGTAATTTTTGTCTAAGGAAAAATCCTATCTGCCATATGTATATATAATTGCTTGGGGGTTATTTTGGGCTTTGTTCTGTTTTATAAATTAGTCTCAGTAACAGAAAAGTTTTACAAGAAGAGGCTAAAAGTTGCCCACCCCGTCATACTTTGCCCTGGGCCAACGGAGCTGTGCAGCCGTGGGTCTGAGGCATATTGGTTGTAGTGTGCATGTTGACCACAGTTTAGTTCTAATTTCTCTGGGGCCAGAAAACCAGACAGTCACCTTCATTTTCATTCCAAGTTTACAGATCTAATCAACAGAATTACTACAGGATTATTCTTGGCATTACAGTAAGCCAGAAAATACCAATCTGCAGAGTTTCATTTAGCAGTGAGAAAGTCTCAACTGCCTCAGCATTTCAAAGCATTTTCCAAGTTAAGATTATTGAGGTATGTGTGATCTGATGAAATCCAGCCTTTGTCTTCTTGTAAAGGACAGAGAGTGCTCTAGCTTGTTCATGACTCGTTTTCTAGCATTACCAGTTTTTTATGGCTTAATCTTTTCTCACAAACTCTTCATAGGCAGGCAGAAATTGTAAAGCCCTTACAAGAATATAAAGGAGGGATGTCATACTTCTAAAAAATACTGAAAGAATGAATACAATATTGTCTCTAAAAAAAGATACAGAATTCAGACACATGCAGGCATCTATCTCTGGGAAGTCAGATTCTTTGTACTCTTATGGTGGAGTGTGAACATTTTGTTATTTTCTTTTTTTATAAGCAGAGATTATATTAGCTATGTAAGTTTTATAACTATTCTTTAAATATTGACATCATTTCTTTTATTAGCTATCAAATGTTTCTTCCCTTGCCTGTATATTTTCGTATCGTTCATGTTATGTGGCATTGCATCAGTAAATCAAAATTTGCTAAAACATTGTTATTGTTGTTGTTGTTCCTAGGATTTAGAAGAATACTGCTTCAGATTTTGCATAAACCATTTGACTGTAGTAACACAAACTTCAGGTTTTGCAGAAATGGACCACGATCTCCTGAAGAACTTTATCAGCAAAGCAAGCAGAGTTGGAGCATTTAAAAATTGATCCTTAACTGTGGGAATTTTATTATTTTCATTTTCACTGCAAAAGCCAGAGAATTAATTTCTCTTTAATAGTTATTTATGATGAGCTGCATTTTGCTGAAAACTTATGTCTCATTAAAAGGATTGTAGTCAGTATTGCTATTTTTGAAATTCAGAGTTTACATAGAAGGCATTAAAATGTTCTGATAGATGTGATTAAGCTCAGGGGAATAAGTGAAAATGTCTTACTATATTATATCATCTTTTGAGTCGCTTAAGTTGGACATTTTTGGTACAATGGTCTATGTTCTTCTGGTCAAAAGTTCCATTATTCAACAGGCTGATATCATAAGATACTTAGACAAGAAATGCTGTCACTACCATGTGTTCTGCAGCCAGTACAATGCCTTGCATACAGTAAGCACTCAGTTAATTTATTATAAAACTTAGGTATGCCCTGAGAATGGTTTCATTTGTGGGATACTGGATGAGGGAATAACTTGTACAAACACAAATTTAACACAGCTTACAGCTAGGTGTTTAATTTGAGGTTCATGTCCTTCAAGTGGATGTTCTGAGGAACAGTGGTTAATTTAGAATATTAGAACTTACAAAGGCTTTGGCAATTGTTGGAGCTCAAGGGCTAATTTTAACTTTCTGTTTGAGACATTAATTCTTATATGGAATTGCTAAATATGAAGTGCCGTCTTTGAATGAATGTTTCCTGGGCTTATCTGTCTTACATAACTGCATAATGTCCTTTCACATTTGTGTTAAAGGAGATTTGCCTCCGTAAGCAAAACTGTTTTTCTTGTAGTTGACTTTTACATCACTATAAAGTAAGTCTCTTAAAGTGGCACAGTATAACCATAAAGTACTAGCTGAAAAGGAATTAATACGTACATTTCATGGTCAGCATTTAGAAGAATGAGATGAATTTATACTTTTTAGATTAAAACAACTTATACAGATGCACAAGAATAACTGCAAGGTGGAAGGTAGGCTATAGATTCTTCTAATATGTATTTTACAACATGATATTATGTAAAGAAAATGCTTTGGAATTAGAAACCTTGTTCTGATGCTGAACTATTTGATAATAAAAGCTTATTTACAGATTATAGAACAAATGTGTCTTTTTTAGTTCCTTGGAAGCAGCAAAGTTATATTAACCTCACATCTTTTGAATATATGATACACTTGATATAAACTTGTATTTTAAAGTAGTTATTCAGGTAGAAGGTATCATAGCAAAGTCCACCCTAAAACAAATGATTTTCAAACAACTGACTCACAATTCATATTGTTGTCTAAGACTGCTCTTTATTGGAGAGGTCACTTTTAAAACCTTAGTTTCTTTTATTTGTGTCTGCAAACCTCATCTAGTAGAGAGAGTAAAATCTAGGTGCTGCTAGTTCTAAATCAGAATGCTACTTTTGAAAAATTAAAGTCTTAATTAGCTGTTATTTTAAAAGTTAGCCGTATGCCATTTTTCTTTTGGTAGATTTGCATTTTTATCCAGCAAAATTATATGACCTATGCTATCCTAGTTCTTCTTCACTCTTGACGTTTACCCTAACCAAAGCCTTTACACCTTTACAGTGTCTTCCAAAGCCTTATTAAGAAAGGTTGGATAGATTTTAATCCAGATTTTCTAAGCATTGTGATATGCAGTTTTGTACTTCCGTATCTTGGTGATTCTGGGGACAATATAATATCTGTCAAACTTCTACGAAACACAAATTAAAGATTCTAACTCAATATACTTAAAAAGCTTCTCGAGTAATTTTGATCTTTAGCCAACAATGTGAAAATCATTGCTTTAGCCCTTAAAACCAGGGACTCTAAATAACAAGGAAGAACTAATCACAGGCCAGGTTGAAAAATCACCAATGAAACCCATGTCTCCGAGAATACTGGCTTTCTCTCTGCACTTGGAAAGGCTTGTCACTAACACTTCTATGTACAGGAGAACACTATTTCTTGTATTTCTAACAGCTGGATATAGACCGTTAAAATCCTGCTCTTCAATTAGGGATATGTGAAAGGTGTTTTTTTTTTTTTTTTTTTTTTATCTCAGCAACGTTTGAGTATGTGATAGGGAAAAACTTTTTTTTTTTTTTTTTTAAAGAATGACACTCCTTCAGGAACTAATGGGTCCTTTTCTTTTATAGAAGCTCATCTTAGATTGTTTTTATTCTTAAGTTTGGTTTCCTCTCTACTTGCTAGATGAAGTTCATGTTTTGCTTGCTTCCAATATAATTATACCTTTATTCAGAGAAAGGTTAAGATTTTACAGGGGTCAAATAATACCTTATCTGCAATAAAGGTTTGTTAAAAAACATATTTTAAAAAGCAAAGCTTAATGGTCTTTAGCTGACACTTGAAGAAAGTCATTCTGGACCGTAAGATGGTGAGGTTTATTTAGAGACAGAATTCTTTGTCAAAAACAATGAATGAAAAAGAAGCAACTATAAATTACATAGTCTTGTTGATATTATCTAACAAATGTGTTATAGAACTGTAAAGAGAAAAGAAAAATTATGATGCTACTATCTTTAACTCAGACTTTGCCAAAACATGAAGACATAAACTATATTGCTTTTGTGTCATTAAAAGCATTTTCTGTATAGGAAGTAATGCATGTTGACCTATGAAATAAATTTAAACTTTCATGTTAAAATTTTTTAAAGATTTATTTATTGATGCATACAGAACTGGGGTACAGGCCAGAGATGCAGGGGCAGTGAGATGATTCACCAGAAACAGAGTGGGGAGCAGGACATGCCAACTGATGAAGTACTCTGCTGAAGGGAGCAGCAGGCAGGTCAGGAGTGGCCTACTGCGCCATGTGAATCACCTCCAGGGCAGGGATCAAACTCATGCTGAAGTGGCTTTGGCCACCAGGGATGGTCTCATGTTAAATTTTATTACCACACTTTTAAGTGTAGTCCCAAAGTAAAAAAGAGTTTTTTTAAGTACAGATCACTTTTTCAAGTTCATATTAAATAAGCATGTTTAACTCCTAATCAGACATTAAGTAGTGCTATTATAATACTTCACTCTTTAAGAAGCTAGACTGATAGATGTTTGATATATCTAGAGATAAGGTTTCATTCAGGTCAGCCAGTAAAATACCAATTTAGTTCAATGGAAAATTATACTAAATGAATGCTTTCTAATGCTGTGTATACTATCTGACACAGAAATATTCTTCTTTAGGAAAGTGTCTATGAATCATCCAGAAGGTAAAAAATTAGCATGTAGAATCCCTCCCCATTTATACCAGAAAACTGTAATAAAAAGTAAATAAATTTGAACACTATTAATAATAGTCAATCTTAAGAAATGAGCAATTTTCCACCATCTAGACAAAAAATGTGGGGGTCTAAAAGCTACCTGATTTTGTCTTGACTAAGAGACTGCATTTCTTCTAAGAGTCCCAACCAACATTAATACAGTATATTGAGTTATATTTGCTGATTTTCCAGCTATAATCTTTTTTGAGGGAGTTTGCTAGAAAATGGTATAGGATATAGGAAAGTCAAGGCAATAGGTGGTCTCAATTGAAAGAGAGTAATACAAAACAAGGATTTTAGCTGGCATAGTCAAAGAAAATCATTGAGCTGAGCTATGAAAAATAGGAAGAAAGCAGCCAAGGAATATTTTGGGGGCGGAGCACTCGATGCAGAAGGAATAGCAAATATAAAACCCTAGGGGATGGGGTTGTATTTAAGTGAAATGGTTAGTGAAGCTAAAGCACTGAGAACAAGGTACAGAATGCAAGAGGGGAGAATGGAGACAGGAATGGCTTCACAGGTCAAAATGAGGAGTTCAAGCCCAGTAACACTGTCAATCAATTTACATTTTAAAAGAATCAGTTTTGCTCTTTGTGGAGTTGAATGGTAAAGAGAAAAAAGGGATTAGGAACAGTTAGTAAATATTCAGGGAATATAGATCAGTTAGGATCTGTGTAACAGTGATACACAGGTTAATAGAGGACATCTTTAGGTTTCTGGCTTGAGCAAGGTATTTAGTAAAATGAGTAATGACGGGTAGAAAGAAGGTATTTTTGTTTATTTGATTTAGGTTTATATTTTGAGAAATGTTAGGGTGAGGGAAAAAAATAGGAATCAAGTGTTCTATTGGCCATGAGGGTTTTGACCTCTATAAAGTAGTCAAGGCAATAAATTTTATTTAAATTATAAATAAGTGTGGGTATCTTCTGTACATAAAGTCTGTTAAGCGCTAAGACTAGATATGGATGAAAGTTAAGATGTAGAAGAGAACATTAGTGTACTTAATAAAAAGAACACAACATCAGACTATTATTAATTAAGACTTTTAACTAATTTATTTTAAAATAGACCAACTATTAATTGTAGAAAATAGTAACATAGCAATTTTAAATGTACAATTTTAACCAATACAAAAGCAATAAAGCAATCTGGAGCCTTATTTAAGAATCTCAAAACACGATCTCTGAAGTTTCTAAAATTCTGGCACTAAATCTAACATGAAATTATTAGCAAAAGAAAGACCCAGAAATATGATAAGCCCTTGACCTAAAAGCTAACTGATTTGTATGGCATTCATGCAAAAATTAATGAGAGAATGGAATAAAGCTTTCTAGTGCCTTTGTTATTAAGGTAACTGTCAAAGTTTGAAACTTAATTGAGCAAAAAGTAAAACTGTTTTCTAGCAGTACGACCAGATTTCTTTTTAAAAAGAACTCTGAGTTTAGAGAAAGTGATTTTCCTAAAATCTAGCTGATGCTACTTTAAATACCTATTTTAAATTATATCATCTCTAAATAAGTTAATCACACAAGATAGTTAAATAAACCTTTAGGTTCCAGGAGGGAAAGCGCCTTTTTTTTTTTTCTAATACAGCTATTTTAATTTGAAGCTTTTTCACAAAATTCGATAGAAATATGAATGTCTACCCCAGAGACCTTTGATTATCTGCAATTTTGGACTAGAAATAATGTGGCTTGAATGTGCCAGTGCTAGACCATACTGACTTCAAAGAAGGGGAAATAAAAAGGGTACGACAATTGCCAGTTCAAAAGATACATGGAAGACATGTACCATTCCAGAGAAAATGCACTCCTTAAATATAGGAGGGCAGAATAATTGCTGAGATGCAATAGACAAATCTCTGAGAGGAAAAAAAAATTAAGGCTCTGATAGTTAACAGTCTATTTATGGAGTAAGATTATTTTGTATCTTGATTTTTCAGGACCCAGAAACATTAGAAAGTGCACTTGGGATATACTATATTAGGGTCCTATAAACAAAGTCAAACTGGAACACTTTATTTTCCAAGCACTAAGTACTAAATGGATACTTTATTAATTCAGTGATCTGAAAGGTATAAAACCAAGAGTACTATTCATTACCCTCATTTTAAAGCATGAGTTGGATGAAGAAAAGAATAAATTCTCACAAGTCCTGAGGTATGAGATCTGTTTCAGTAGTATGACAGTATCATATGTTTATATTTTGCTTCCTGCTTGTATTTCAAGCTAAAATTTATAAAACAAGCCACACAGTACATCAGATTCCATTAGTAAACTAAATGCTACTATGTAAAAATTAGTATTTTTTCCTAGTTTCTAATAACATCTGTTTGAGCAGAAGAGTTTAGTATCATTTGGGTAAATGTGGGGCAATCAGCCAAATTGCATTTGGAAGACAGAACACATTTTCTAATGTTCATGTTAAATTAAAAAAAATATAAATATAAATTAATAAAAACAATAGCAAACACCACATATATGCTACAACAGAAGACAAAGTACTCAGGCATGGTCTACTAGGATTCCGCTTGGGGTATCCTCACCATTTGCAAAGTGGAGCAAGTATACTCTGGAAATGGAAACATCTGCTACAAACTTTTTCAATAGCTGGACTTACACAAGATTTTTAATCTTGTATAATTAATAATGTATAGTATATTAACTACAACATTGTTAGTGGCTTAAGAGTCACTGCATAAACATTCATAATGCATCTGCACACTATATCCATAAAAAAAGCTACACATATTATTATATATGGCCGTAAACAGAACCTGGGTGAGCTCTACAGTCAAAATCTGTGACAGAAAATCAAGCTGGAGGTGGACACATTGCCCACCGAGGTCATGAGAGCCTCACTTCTCTTCCTTGTTCAAGGTATCCATGCTATCATTCATTTTCTGCTTCTGCATTCGTGTTCGAGTAGATGCTGGAAAAAGGAAGGCTTATTAATAATTAGCATTGATGCTGCCAGGCTGCTATATTATTTTATGCTCATGCAAAATTACTGAAGTTCAGCAGCACAAAGGCAGTGATCTCCAGATTTTTTTATCACACACATATCTTCATCAGTAACATTTTTCTGAGCATGGACCACCATAAAACACATATGCACACATATTCATGTACATATAAGTTATAAAACATATTAAAACACATTAAGCATATATAGGATGAATAGAAATTACAATATTTTCTGTGCGTACCCCAAGAAGTAGTCTTACATACTTCCAGATATGCTCAGTTTGAAGATCACTGTTCTACAGATGATGAGATTGAGTGTGACACCAACAGAGTAGAATTGTGGACTGTAGAGTACCCAGAATGCTCTGCTCAAGTGAGTGGTGGTATTCTTACACAGCTAGGAGTTTGTGTTGGGAGATGCTTTGCAGGTACTACAAAGACATCTTATAGCTAATTTGAATGTGGACATTTTTAAAAAACATTGTTGGTCACAATACTGACAAAAATCTTTTAGATTATTTTTAAAATATTTACTTGATTTTTAAAGTGGGCAGGAATTCTCCATAAAAAAGCACAAAGTACCACTAGCCAGACTCACAAAGAAAAAACAAGAGAAAGCACAAATAAACAGAATCATTAACGAAAGAGGAGAAATAAAAACAGACCCAGCAGAAATCA